GTCATTGGGGAGAAAAAGGGACATCTGTAATATTTTAAACAAAAATAAAATTTAAAAAATAAAAATAAAAAATAAAGAAATGGCAGAGAAAGAGTGTCCCAAAAAAGACATCAGAGACATAGAAGAAAAATATGAAAATGTGAGACCATGGGAACTAAAAGAAAAGGTTAAGTGTTAAAAAAAAAATCCACTGAACTTAGTAAAGAGGATTTGGTCATGATGTGACCAGTAGTAATATCAGTGAGTGGTGAGAACAGAATCCAGATTACAGTGGACTGAGGAATAAATGGAAAGAAAGGAAAGAAGTGCAGAAGGTGGCTAATTGAACTGATCCAACATTGAAGCTCTGCTGCATAGGTGGGGTGAAAGGTCATGTGATAAAGACTCAGGCAAATTGGAAGAGGGTGATTAGCCATGAGATCCATCCTGAAGAAGTCACAGAGTGAAGACAAAGCAAATCTGAGGAGAAATGGACAGGATCAGAGACTGAAAAGATGAGGCCAAAGATTCTATAGAATGGGTGGAGTGAAAAAAAGAACAAAGAATTGAGTGTTTAAATTGAATATTTTATAGGTAAAGCAATTCCAGACTTTGTAATATGGCTATGGGAAGAGAAGGCAAAATCACTGAAGATGAGATCAAGAATCAGTACGTCACATTGCTGAGTGGTTCATTCACGCAAATGCCGATAACGCCCAAGTTGATGGTAATTTGTAGGGGAGAAGCAAGCTGATCCAAGTGACAAAATCTGTAACAAAATAGGAGTAGTTTGAGTTGGGTAGTTGGTGGTGTAGGCTTTGACTTATGACAGTTTCTACATTTTCCCAGTACTGAAAATGCTGTCTAATTGCAGCATAATTTTAAAAGATAGTAATTAGGTACAGCCTAGTTTCCATCAATAAGAGAAGTGTTAAGACAACTCTGGTATACACCCATTGGAATATTACAGAGCCATTAAAATTATGTTTATGAGAAGTTTATGGTATAATTTTTGAAAGAACATAACAGAAAACTGCACAGAAGTACATTTACAACCATTTGCAAAAATGCAGGTTATCTTTTTTTTTTTAAAAAACTGGAAGGATGTGCTATAAAATGTTAACAAGAGCAGTATTTTGTTGTTGAGACTAGAAGCATTTACTTATTTTAAAAATATTTATCTGCCATAATATTTATACAATCATGCGGTTCTTTCATAGGTAACAAAAAGATTAGTTTTGTGAGCTGTTGCTGAATCTCATGGGAAAGAGAGTGGTACAGGAAGAAAAGCCCAAAGGTCAATAAACTTCAAGGAGAGGAAGGTAGCCACCCCTGGTAGGCACTGTAGAGGGTGAAGAGTATGTCTGGCACTTCTGGCAGGCTGAATGTATAGGTAAATTGAATTCCAGCGGCCAGAGAAAGTCCTCAAAGAAATAAAAATACTGGTCACTGAGGTTCTAGCCAGGATGCACTGATACGGTAAGATAAACAGGGAATCTGCCTCCTGTGCTGTTCAGACCCTCTCATGTCTTGCTACAGACTCTTCATGATGGTGGCTATAGGTGTGGACTGAGGGACAGACATCAATGCAACATAGGCAGATGACATGAGAGTCCAGGCTATCTGATTCTGAAATTTACTTTGGCTCTCTCTTTCTACTAAGGCTTTATACCAAATACCTAGCTGACGGCTGGGAAAGCAGAGCCTGGGACAGAAGGGAGACTTGAGAGTGTCTTGAGAGCCTTTCTCTGTGGGCTCGTTCTCTGAAGTTCCTAGCACAAACATCCCTCCCACAGGACATGTTTCTAAAGAGATCAAGGGGGAAATTGGACAATTTATCCAAGTTTATGGATGTTTTTAATAGGAAATTACAAGAGCTGCTCCCTACCCCCTAGGGTTCTCTCCTTGGCTAGATATATTCTTCAGTTTATAGCTCTGGGACTGGTAGAAGTGAGACTCCGAGCTTGTAGATTTCATTACGATGCCCAAGAATGTCTAGGACCTTGGAAGCGCATATTTAGGTCTCCTAAAGAGAATCTTTAAACACCCGCCAAACATCAGATCATAAATGCAGGTAAGGTCAGTATTACAAATGGAATGAGTATTTTTCTCAGCAATATATGAGTTTATTTATGGGTATAGAAGAGTCAGAAAGTTGGTTTTGGCATAGAAGAGACAGAACGAAGGAGGGGAGGGGAGGGGAGGAGCGGGACATGGGGTGACGGGAGAATGAAGGTACAGAGGCAGAGAGAATGAGATGGAAGGAAGAAGAAAATGAGAGAAAGATAAAGTGAAGGTATATACAGGAAGTAAGAAAGAGGTAAAAACAAAGAAAAGTGATTCAAGAAAGAAAGACAGAAATACAGGGAAGCAGAGTCTTTCGGAGGCACTTCCACTTGCTATGGATCCCAACACGGAACACCAGGTCTGCCCACCCAGAATTTAAGCATTCCCAAACTGCCTAGGTGGTTGAGCCAGGAGTTTAAGGAAGGACTCTTACACTTTCAACTGCCTCCTTCACTGTGTGTGTGTGTGGGGGGGGGAGTTAACATAATCCAGAGTTTCTCAGGGATCCTTTATTGAATTGAAATAAGTAAAAATATATGTGTATTGAGGAATTTTCTTTAAGGAATACAATACTATTCCTTGCATCCTTTTATTTAAAATTTTGTCTCTCACCTGAAGTTTAATAATGGGTACTGAAGTCAAATCTTCTAAATGTTCTATGTCATGGTTGATGGTCTGGAGTACTCAGCACAGAGCATCCTTGGGGTGATAACATGGCTGAGACACCATATTTTTAGAGTCTGATCCTCAGTGCCAAAGATGGACAAATTCTATTTTGCAGTGAACCAAGAAAAGCTGGCCACATTAACATTCCTCAGTGACAGTTTTTCTAATTCCCTTATATGCCAACATATATGGAATATATGAGAAACAGGTTAAGTTTCCCAGTTTCTGAAATAAAACATATATATTTTTCATATGACAGCTAAAAATCATTACTACAGACTCCTTAATATTCTCAACCATTCTTCATCCCCAGCAGACAGAGAAGGACCATGAGGAGAGAGAACCAGAGCAGCGTGTCCGAGTTCCTCCTCCTGGGGCTCCCCATCCAGCCAGGGCAGCAGGGCGTGTTCTTCACCCTGTTCCTGGGCATGTACCTGACCACGGTGCTGGGCAACCTGCTCATCATCCTGCTCATCAGGCTGGACTCTCGCCTGCACACACCCATGTACTTCTTCCTCAGTCACCTGGCCCTCACAGATGTTTGCTTTTCATCTGTCACTGTCCCTAAAATGCTCTTGGACATGCAGTCTAAGTACAAATCCATCCACTATGCAGGATGTATTTCACAGATGTATTTTTTCATATTCTTTACTGACCTGGACAGCTTCCTTATTACATCAATGGCATATGACCGATATGTTGCCATCTGTCACCCTCTTCAGTATACCATCATGAGGCAAGAGTTGTGTGCCTTACTAGTGGCTGTGTCCTGGATCCTGTCCTGTGCCAACTCCCTTTCCCACACCCTCCTCCTGACCCAGTTATCCTTCTGTGCTGCTAACACCATTCCCCATTTCTTCTGTGACCTTGGGGCCCTGCTCAAACTGTCTTGCTCAGACATCTTTCTCAATGAGTTGGTCATGTTCACAGTAGGGGTGGTGGTCATTACCCTGCCATTTATATGTATCCTGGTATCTTATGGCTACATTGGGGCCACCATCCTGAGGGTCCCTTCAACTGAGGGGATCTGTAAAGCCCTGTCCACATGTGGGTCCCACCTCTCTGTAGTGTCTCCATATTATGGGGCTATATTTGGGCAGTACCTTTTCCCAGCATTAAGCAATTTCATTGACAAGGACATCATTGTGGCTCTCATGTACACGGTGGTCACACCCATGTTGAACCCCTTTATCTACAGCCTTAGGAACAGGGACATGAAAAAGGCCCTTAGGAAACTTTTCAGTAAAGTAACATTTTTCTCATAATATCTGTGACTTTTATTTAAATCAGAATCTCATTTTTGTTGATCTCACAGATTTGATTTTCCATTTGAATATGTCTGAAAATTTTAAGGTCTCCTGAGACATAGGTCCTAAGATAAATGATGGCATATTGGATGTGCCTGTTAAATATCTGTTGACCAGAATTTCATTCTCTTATTAACAATGCTGTCTTTTATGAGTAACTTTTGAATAGCAAATGCTAATCAACTTTATTACTTATTTCTGCAACTTGGAGACATAAATAATACAATAATATACAGTTTTGTTACCTGTTATTTCAGAAGATTTTTGGAAACCCTTATATTTTGGGACCATAATCTCAGGCTTTAACACAACCCAGAATCTAAAGATTAGCTATACTATTTCTCTACGCAATCTTATGCAGACTAAATGGCTTTTCTTTTCATCGTTATGGGTTTATTGAAATCAAATAATCCAAACTACTTGTCATTTAAATAAGAGGAAATGTATTACTCTCTGCCCATGGTATATAATTTCACAACTCTGAAGATGAAGGTCCATTTAGGAGATCAAGACTGGCCAGAACCCCCCACCTTTGCCAGCACTGTGCGGTTGATACTGCTTAGCCCCTGTACACAATCATTAATGAAAGCATGCTTCACGCTGCCATCCTTTGTAAATACATGCGACCCCCCTGCAGTGCATACTCTGAAGACGTCATTGCTTTCCTACAAACGCCACTCCAGTTACCAGCACTGACTATCCTTCTTGGACATCCTGCCTTCGCAAATGAAGAATGAAAGCAAAGCTTCCCAAGCTTTAGTGTGCACAAGAATTCCTGGAGATATTGTTATAACACAGGTTCCTGGAATCCACCACCATGAATTCGGATTCAGTAGTTTTGGGACGGGGCCCCCAAATTTGTACATATAATGCCCCCACATGATGCTATGCTCCGGAACTGTGAACTTCGATCTGAAGAGCACTGGTGTAAAGAATTAAATCATGGAGGTTTGTAGGATGCACATTTATAACACCTTTCATGAGTGAAACAAGGAAACACTTAAATTATTTCAGTGATAGAGAAATTTGTGGTTCATGTTGGTATTTTCAGACTGATTCTGGCGGCAGTAAATTTTTTTTCCAATTTCTAATATCAGAGATTCTTTCCTGAATTATCAGATTTTCTTTTGTCTTTCATATATAATATAGATATATCAGATACTACATATCATGCTTTGTATCATCACACCAGACTATATGTTCAATGTAAATGAAGCCAAAGCTTTGAAAAAATTACATCTTATATCCACTGGTGGCTTTTTGTTTTCATGAAGCCTTGTAAGATTTCAGTGCAACTTGTGATTTTGCTAATGTCACTCAAACATATTTTGAAATTTTAACTAACAGTTATTTCACACATGATGCACAATAAAATGTACATTTATTATAAAGCACTATTTGATTTCAGAGTATCTGTATATCCACAAAGGGGCACTTGGGTTCTTGACAAGGCACTGAACAATTTTATGTTATAGGATGTCACTTGTGTCGATAAGTCTTCATTTGACTTGCCATGCTCCTTGACATAGCCCACAAGATAGCATCTGTCTTGAATCCCATCCATTATTATTGTTATTGTGGGCATCAAGTTTTTACCCCGGTGTTTTCATCTCCTTTTTTGTGCAAAATACAATATGTTTACCCAACTTTATACATAAATATAAGACTCATTACTACATAATCAGCAGGTAGAGTGACATTTAAGGCTGTGGTGATGCCCCAAACTCTAGTCTGTTTGAGGTATGAAGTTGGAAATCAAAACATTTGAGTTTGATATTTGCTATATATATCAAATATTAAATAGCAAGTTTCCCTTATTATTCATTTACTTCATTCCATAAACTTTCATTTAGGCTATGAGTAAATGAAGACAATCTGGCTTTGTTGCTTGTCTTTCCACAGGGTTCCACTTCGTCATGTATTTCCACGGGCATTTTCAAAGTTAGGTTCTTTCCAAAGGAGCAAGACAAAGGCACTAAGGCAATGGAGCCCATTAAACGTGATGCTCTTGGAGATATTACAGTAGCCTTGACCAGACCACTGACAAAAGGGACGATTTCAATGTTTAGTATAATCTTTAATAAAGTTTCCCAGTAAATCTCTGTTGTGTTAATTCAATAAAAGACTGACTTAATTTTAAGTAGACTGATGTATTGATATTGTATGCATTCCGATTATTGATATGCATAGAAGTAGAAATTCAAAAATTATTATATTATGGAAAAAGAAAGTTACAACATGCCGATCAAATATATCTCATATATGCAAATAAAAGTTTATGAATTAAAACCACTTTAGAAGGATAAAAAATGACTAATGGAAGGGCGAAGTACGCAGATTTTATCCTTTGTTTTAAGTTCTACAGTGTTTGGATTTCCCTCATAAAGCAGAATTAATTTTATAAGCAGCAAAAAGGAATACCCACTGGGGAGAAAAACACCTCTTCACACCCCAAGTTATGACCTAACTAGGGGAAACACAAATCTGGTAGGGGAGGGTCAGTAAGGAGGTCTTTCCATATCTCCTTTTGGGATCACACTCATAGGGCATCCACCCGATGTTCTTCCTAAAAACAATGTTTCCTCAAAGTCAGCCCTTAGAATCATCTACCTCAGAATTAGCTGGCCCCAGATCTCATGAATGAGCATCCCTGAGGTGGAGCTTTGATCTGCATCTTTAACAAGCTCCCCAGGTGATTATGCTGAACATCAACGTTTAAGGACCACTGCCCTAGGGCATCTATCCTGGAGGGAGTAAGAAGAAAACTGAGCAATTAACACCTGTTTAATGTACATCTCTAACCAAGAGCTTGGTGTCCTAACCCCTTGGGTCCTTTCCCTGGTGGGAAGAGTAAAGTCTTCACATCTCCATTTCTGAAACTGGTGAAATGAGAAGAGTCAAGTCCAGGCTCGTGACTTTCCTCTCCGATGTCAGTGAGAGGATTAGGACCCAGAAATCTGGTTTCTGGGTGTCCTACAGAGAAGCTGAGAAACCATCCATCCTCCTTGAGGTCAGATGACTTCAGCGTAAAGTTCAGAGCAGAACTGGGTATCCTTTGTCAGGAGCAGGTGGGTGCGTGCATGTGCGTGTGTGTGTACACACAGGTGCTCACCACTTCTCTGTGCTCTTGCTGAAGTCACTTCTTATTACTACTTCCTACAGATAGGGATACCGCAATCACCACTGGCCAGTGACTCCCATACCTTTAACCCTGAGCGTTGGGGAGATGAGTAGAGCCAGCTGCCTGTTCCATGATGCCCTGCCTGTGATCCCTAGTATAATTCCATACTTTCATCAGAGGTGTCAAACCTTGGGTCTAGAAAATATCTATAACCTCAATTAATTTGCCTGAGTTCCACTGATGATGAGACACTGAGTTTCTTCACTAGAGAACTTTGCATTTTTATATTTAGTGGAATCAATGTCACTTAATATGGTATAGGACATCTCCCAGCACCAACATTTGTTGATAAAACTTTTTCACTGTCCTTTCATCCCCAGCAGACAGAGCAGGAGCATGAGAAGGGAGAACCAGAGCAGCGTGTCCGAGTTCCTCCTCCTGGGGCTCCCCATCCAGCCAGGGCAGCAGGGCGTGTTCTTCACCCTGTTCCTGGGCATGTACCTGACCACGGTGCTGGGCAACCTGCTCATCATCCTGCTCATCAGGCTGGACTCTCGCCTGCACACGCCCATGTACTTCTTCCTCAGCCACCTGGCCCTCACTGACATCTCCTTCTCATCTGTCACTGTCCCTAAGATGCTGATAAACATGCAGACTCAGGATCAATCCATCCCCTATGCAGGGTGCATAGCACAAATGTATTTTTTCATATTTTTTACTGATCTGGACAATTTCCTTCTCACCTCAATGGCATATGATCGGTATGTGGCCATCTGTCACCCCCTCCACTACATGACCATCATGAGAGAGGGACTGTGTACCTTACTAGTAGCTATATCCTGGATCCTCTCCTGTGCCAGTGCCCTGTCCCATACCCTTCTCCTGGCCCCGCTGTCCTTTTGTGCTGATACCGTCCACCATTTTTTCTGTGACCTTGGTGCCCTGCTCAAGCTTTCCTGCTCAGACATATCCCTCAATGAGCTGGTCATTTTCACAGCAGGAGTGGCTGTCATTACTATCCCACTAATGTGCATCTTGATCTCTTATGGCTTCATTGGAGCCACCATCCTGAAGGTTCCGTCTACCAGGGGCATCTGCAAAGCATTGTCCACATGTGGCTCCCACCTCTCAGTGGTATTTCTGTATTATGGAACAATTATTTGGCTCTATTTTGTCCCCTCATCTAGCACTTCCAGTGACAAGAACATAATTGCCTCTGTGATGTACACAGTGGTCACTCCGTTGTTGAATCCTTTCATTTACAGCCTAAGGAACAGGGACATGAAGGGGGCCCTGGAGAAACTCTTCAACAGGGTTACAGTCTTGTCTTAACGACATTTGCTTATCTTTATAACAGACACACTTATCCTTGGATAGCAGCCTCCTAATCTTGAGCCGAGAATGGAATTAAATTATTGATATCTTGAATTAGATTCTGTTACAGTTATTCTCTTTCCCTTGCAACTCTTTAGTATAAACTGTGAAATCTGACTTGATATTATAGATTACTGCTCTTGTCTATTAGATTGAGAAGCTGCATAGCTTGTAGAATTTATAGCTCTCCTCTTATTTCCTGGGAATTTATTAGGTATTTTTTAAAGCAGGTTTATTGAGGTAAAATTGACATATAAACACTGTATATGTTTAAAGTGTACAACCTGATGTTCTGATAGGTATACACTGTGAAATGATCACCATAAGCCAGCTAATTAATATATCCATCATGGCCACATAGTCATCCTTTTATTTTACTTGTGTTTTGATGAGAAGTCTTAATTTAAGATCCATCCTCTTGCCTGGCTGGCGTGGCTCAGCGGTTGAACATCGACCTATGATCCAGGAGATGGAGGTTCGATTCCCAGACAGGGCACATGCCCAGGTTGTGGGCTCAATTCCCAGTCGGGGGCGTGCAGGAGGCAGCCAATCAGTAACTCTCTCATCATTGATGTTTCTCTCTCTCTGTCTCCCTCTCCCTTCCTCTCTCTGAAATCAATAAAGATTTTTTTTTTTTTTTAAGAAAAAGATCCACCCTCTTAGAACATATCAAGTATACGACAGGTGTTGTTAATAGTCATCATGCTGTACATTAGATCACAAGAATTATTCATCTTGTGTAACTGAAACTTTGTACACTGTGCTAAGTGAAATAAGACAGACTCAAGAAGGCATATACTGCATGATCTCACTTATATGTAGAATCAAAAATAGTCAAATTCATAGAAGCAAAGAATAGAATGGTGGTTTTCAGGGACTGAGGGAGGGGGAAATTGAGCAACGCTGGGAGTTTATTAGTTTCTATGAATTGTTGGAAGATATTGGCTAAAAGGACTCCCTTGGCATATAAAAGCTGCAAAATTCGGCATTTGTAAAGTATCTCCTTTCCTTTCTTCACCTCCCATTCAGTGTCCTTTCAATATTTTTAGTTGGTGGTGGTGACGGTGAGGCAGGAGAAAACACTATATAGTACCCTTTAGAACTCCAGGAAATTACCCACTGTTATGAGTTTAGCTGCTTCACTTAAGGGCTCAGGGCTCCTTCTGGATTTTAGGAACACTGACTGCTCTTATGGACACAATAACCTTAGTTCAGCAGTTCACTCTCAGACCAATGATCTATGAAGTTTTCTGACTGTGTGTGAGTTTCAATCAAGACACAGGCTCAATCCAGATAGGGAAAGAGAAAGACAAAGAAACCATCCATAGCCTGGAGGCTCCTGTTGCCCCCACTGGATTTGGTGACTTTCTTATTCAATCTCTTCATTATCTGTCTCCCTGAAAAATCCTTTCTACTCAGCTTAGTCACCTTAGGTTTGTAGTACAAGCCAACTAATCTAACTTCTTTGTCATCCAGTGAAGGACTACAGGTTCTCTTTCTTCAGGTTGTACTTAGTTAAGAAGAAACAGGATCACTGTGAGACTGATGTAGCTGTAAGAGAGGAGCATTTGGGAAAGACAGATCCCAATTGCAAGCTATTTCTATCAGAGTGTGTGCCTGAGGCAATTCACTTAACTCCCTTGTGCCTCAATTCCTCTTCCTGTGTAAATTGAAAAACTATAAGACACCTAATATAGTTTTGATTTGAAATAAATGAAATGCTAAATTTGGCTTAGTATTACAACTGACCAAGAATAATGAATATTAGCTTTCCCTACCTATGCATCAGAGGTGAATTTTGGAGAACTCGCATAGATAACTCCTGAATTATGGTGACCATGGGAGCACGACATACAAATTGTAATCCCAAGTCAAAGGCTATCAGCTGTCCTAGGATATAGCAACACATCTTCTCTGGCTTGAACTAGAATCAAATGACTAAGGAGCAATGGATGAGTGAGTCAGTAGGTGGGAAGATAAGGAAGGACATCAGAAGAGCACCTACTCTCTACTCTTAATACTCACTCAGAGAGCTGCCCTTGACCTGGAGCTGATGGAACTGCCTTTTAGCACCCCAGCTTATTTTGTTGAAAAACAAAAAGTGCCCTACACCCCCACCCTGCCCTATTAAGCTGCAGGCATGGAGTCTCTTTGTCTGCAGGCTCAGTCTCAACCAGTTCCGGAGCCAAAACAAAACTTGAACAGGGCTGGAGACTTTCTTGCTAGTCTAGAGGAAGCGTGCTTTGGTTGGCCTGGACACACCCATGACTACGTGGCTCAGTTTCTCTGCTTGCACTCCGGTTCTGTCATTTGGATCCCTGATTATCTACAGGGTCCTGTCAGGCCCATCCTTAAAGGGGTAACATGATGTCATTCATATGTTTAGCCATGTGATGGTGACACTGCTGTGAATGGATTTTTCTCAAGAAACATCAAGTCCACCTGCCTGTTGGGAAGTGTTTTATCATCATTTGTCCTGCTAGACTGGCTTTCCCTGGTTGTAGGCAGCCCAGAGCAGACTGGTAAGTGCCCAATTAAAAGCACATCCACCCTGGCTGCATGGCTCAGTTGGTTGGAGCACTGTTCCATGCATGGGAAGGTCTCGAGTTTGATTCCCGGCCAGGGCACATAACCTACGTTGCAGGGGTGCGTATAGGAGGTAAATATATTAACAAGATAATTTGAGGAATAATTATCCATGGTGAAAAATCAAATAAAACAAATATTCAATCTTACTAGTAACCAAAGACATGTTAGTTAGAATTGGATTATTATATACCTATGAAATTGTTCATTAAAACCAGCAGTGATACTGGGACAAAGTATAGTGATTCAGAGCATGGGCTCTAGAGTCATAAAGGCCTTGGTTGGAATTCCACCCCCTCCATTTAGTACTTGTATGACATTGGTGAAGTCATTTTCCTCACTGGGCCTCAGCTTTCTCATCTGTAAAATGGGGATAATAGTTCCTACATCTTAAGCTCATTGTATTACATGAGACCATGTAATTAAAGTGTTTAGCTAGTATTAGGTAGCCTTAATAAAATAGAGGAGATGTAACATTTTCAGCAGCTGCTGTGTATCTGCTATTATGGTTAGTGTGTTATGTAGACTGCCTATTTAATTGAGAGTTTAGGACTTGAGGGGATTGCTTCATATCAGTATTACTCTGTTTAGGTAAATCATTAGCAGAAACAGTCATGTTATAATTTATGCTCCTGATGTTGCCCTCAATCCAGTTTTACCCAGGGTATGGGACAGGCAATAAACTGTCCGGTGCATAGGCAGGAGTTCCCAGGAGGCCTGTGGGTCAGGCTGAAGTGAACTACATCCCAGCAGGGGGCTTCAGAATCACACTCCCAAGACCCAGAGCTCTGAGACTTTTCCCCCTGGGAAAGAGATGCCCTCAGTTCCCCCAGGACCAGCCAGAGTTGGCTGGGGAACACACTGCACAATGACACTGAGGTTGGCTCTAATGAGCACTGGGATGATGAGCCTTTAAAACCCTAAGAAAGATTCCTGTCTTCTCAGGCCTAGGGAAGCTGGAAATGAGTCATACACTCTAGGTGGTCCTAGTGAACCCTGGATGCCAGAGACCCCAACTTTACTGACTGAGTCAGAAAGGTCCCAGGGAGTTCCTCATTGTGAACTTTCCATCCAGAAGAGAGAACTAGAGAATCTGAAGATGCCTGAAACCAATCCATACTTTAACAGGTGAGAATCTGGAAAGGGTAGGACACACACACACACACACACACCCCACCCCCCTTCCCAGCCCAAGCCTCTTTATAAACCAAAGAACAAATGGAATTCTAAAACATCCACAAAAGCTTCCAAAGTCATACTTCCTACAAGGCCAATATGAAATGATCTCTCACACCAGCTTGCTCTGAATCCTAGGAGAGCAGAAGAGTGACTACTTTCAAGTCCAGAGAACGAGAGCCTGATTACTTTCACTTTTCCTTCCTCTGATGAAAAGTAAATATCAGAGCCCAACCAGCGTGGCTCAAGGATTAAGCATCAATCTAGGATCCAGGAGATCTCAGTTCTATTCCCAGCCAGGGCACATGCCAGGTTGCAGGCTCAATCCCCAGTAGGGGGCATGCAGGAGGCAGCCAATCAAAGATGACTCTCTCATCACTGATGTTTCTATCTCTCTCTCCCTCCCCCTTCCTCTCTCTGAAATCGATAAAGATATATATATATTTTTTAAAAAGTATTCCCACTGCAACAGAGCCCAATTGTTCCTAGATGAAAGGCGGATCCATACATTTCCTAACAAAGCTTAAAAGTAAGCCTGAAAAGGTCAAGTATATTTCAATAAAACCTGCATCTACATCTTCTTTATCCAATTATCTATCGAGGAGCACTTTGGTTGTTTCCATGTCTTGTGGTACATATATACAATGGAATACTACTCAGCCATAAGAAAAGATGGAACACTGCCATTTGCAACAACATGAATAGATCCTTAGAATATCATGCTAAGCAAAATAAGTCAGACAGAAGAAGTCAAGAACCATATGATTTCACTCATATGTGGGATATAAAGTTGAAAGCAATAAATGAACAAACAAGGCAAGCAAACAAACAAAACCTCACAGACGTGTTAGTTAGCAGATAAATGGAAATGAAAACCACAACGAGATACCCCAACAAACCCACTAGAATGGCTAACATTCAAATGACTGATAATACCTAGTGGTAGTGAGGATGTCAGAAGTTAGAACTCTCATGCATTGCCAGGAGTCATGCATAATGTAGAGCCATTTTAGAAAACAGTTTTTCCGTTTCTAGTAATGTTAAACATACACTTGACCCAGCAATTCCACTCCTAGGTATTTATTTACCTAAGAGAAACAAAAACTTATTCATGCAAAGATCTGCATGCATAGCTATACACATAAACATATACATGTGACAAAGGCGATAGTACAATACAAATGGTGCTGGGGTAA